GTGACGATATGTTTCACATCAGGGTGTTGGTTCAAGAGGGTCAGGTGATACTGGGTCTGGACATAGCGTACACCCATAGATGTGCCCAGGACGGGATGAGGTGCTCCACGTTCGGTCTTGTAACAGGTGGGGCACCCATGCCAGAAACGGCCCATGAATTCAAAGACGGTGCCTGTTGCTGGATCGTATCCATCCACACTGTAATGATGGCTACCCTCTGCACACGTGAAAGTCACTTCACCCCCATTCCTGGCATGTTGTATGTGCAGATCCGGAGTGGTCTTCATGAGATAGCGTAACCAATGCAAACAGGCCAGGGAATAGCCTCTCTCGGGTCGGTAGCCTTGAGGTGGGATGATGGCAATGGTTTTGGGTTTCAGAAAGAGTTTATTGTAGGTTTTCTCGCATGCTGAAGGGAATGTCACTGCCTCTGCAAAGGGATCCACATCGCACTGCTCCATGAAGAACTGTCGGAAGGAATCACATCCACGACTCAAAATATCGACATCACTCTGACAGTAGGTTAAGAGTTCTTCTAGCAAGTCAAACAAGGCTCCTTCTTGAACTTTCTTGGTATGCCACTGGAGGAAAGTGGTGCGTTACGTGGGAGACACGCCTTCAGGATCGTACATGGCTGCTGATGGATAGGGACCTCTGTAGGTCTGGTTGGGCTGGGCATTGAACAAGTGAGGAAAATACCCTTTCTTCAGTTAAGTCAGTGCAAAGGTCTGCTTTCAGCGGCATGGTCAGGAAATTCAAACTGTCTTTGAAACACAAGCGTCCCACTGTCATCTGCAAAATCTGTTGCCCTCTCAGGATCACGTCTGGGGTTTTCACCAGATGCGGGTGCATGGCCTTCATGATCAAGTGTCCATCATACCCTTGCGCGTTATGAGCAATTGCATAAATGACGTCATCCTCATCAGGTGGCAGGGTGGGTGTGTTCACCTCCTCCTCAAGCGGGGCGGGCTTGTCCACCTCCATGGGAGGATGTGCTGCTGCTGCTGCCCCTTTGCGTGCTTCATCCTCCTCCTCAGGGTGTGTCTTCTTTGTTTTTTGGTCAGGGTCATCAACCATGCACACACATCATCTAACGTGGTGGGACCTTGAAACACTTTCACTCGGCTTTGACCTTGACCTTCTGGGTTCCATGGACACTTTTCTCACAACTCGCTTGTCATCATCATCATCATCATCATCATCATCATCATCACAGGCTTCACGGAGGGGTGTGACGTAGCATTGATGCTCTGGGGTCACAGGTTCTTGACACACTTGACATGGAGGGCGGTCTTCTGTGCATAATGTTGTGCCACCACAATGGCCCTTGCCAAACAGGATCGATCTTTGTTCTTGATCCATACAATGCACTTTTTGCGTTCTAAAAATGCTTCCAGTCCAACCACATTATTCAGACGCCCACTGCCTGATCCTAGCCCGGGATCTGCTACATGTAATAATTTCACATTTCACATCTTTGTTGGACTGCTGGACTTTTTCCGAGGCATACAAGATATCCTGGACATGGAATCTGTATGGGGCAGTCGAAAGCAGGGTGACGGATACATAGACCAATAGGATCACCCTTCTGGCATGACACCTGTTGGTAGATGTCCTCGATCACACTGTCAAATTAACGTTGCAGTTCTGTGGACAGGTGGTGTGATGGAACGTCTTCCAAGTAGTCTTGGTTCAATGTCAAATGATAAGTAAAGTTAGAGGTTCTTAACCGTCTGGCTCGAGACACCTCTATCTTCTCCAAGCCATATGGTTCATTCTGCTTGTCAGTCATGATGCCTATCGGTGCCTGATGAACGTCTGCTTTTATTGATTTATAGACAAGCCTTCCCCAAAACAGGATCGAAAATCTGGCCAATCAGAAGCGTGGGTTTTCGACCAATCAGAAGACAGCACCAACCAATCAGAAGAAAGCACCCGAGCCGAGTTGTGCTTTCTCTCCTATGGAACAGGCCTGTTCCTATGGAAAAGAAACATAAGGGTCGGGTAAGTTTGGAAAACCAGGGCTCAGTCTAGGCGCCTAAATGGACCAATTGGCGTGCTGCGTTTTCGACCAATCAAAACAGGGACCATTTCGATCCACTCCCTCTCCTATAAAAATGGAGTGAACACTTGAGTGGGTTCAGTGTCACTTGTGAAAAAAATCATCATTGCACGGAGAATGGCAGAGAGGAAGAGCTGTACAGATGCTTGTGGGGGGTCCAGGATTCTTCTGGATTCTTGTGGACCCAGGAGTGAGGGTACGGATGCTTGTGATGGTAGGCCACTGCCATCTAGTAAGCCACCGTCGCCCCACTATCTACACTTTGAAAGAATGCTAGCCTCGTTTGAGGGTTGGCCGATGCAGATGAAGCAGACCGCTGAAGAGATGGCCCATGCCGGCTTCGTGTACACGCAAAGTGCTGATGGCGTGTACTGATTTCATTGCAGTGTGCGGCTGAGAAGATGGGCTCCCCACAACGATTCTTGGCTGGAACACCTCAAGTGGTCCTCTCACGGCGCCTACCTCAAGCTGACCGGGCTGGTGAGACACAAGAAGAAGAACGTGGCAGCTACTGCTTACTGGCACTATCTGTGCGAGGAGAATGCGAACCAGAGCTACGCGAATGAGGAAGCTTGCCCCGCCTTTCCTTTCCGTTCCTGTTTCGTTCCCGTTTGTTTCCAGTTTGTTTCCAACGGCCCTTTTCAGGGCCACCCCACTCTCCGGAAAGAATGCTTTCATCATTGCTTTACCTACTAACAACAACCACAACAAACAAAACCCTCCTCCTCCCTTCTTCCCCCTCCCTTCCTCCCCCTCCTCCTCCCTACAAAATGGGACATCTGGCGGGTCTTATGGTGACAAGCCCTGCACATCTGAGGCGACGACGTACGGTTTGTGCAGATATTTGTCGAAGGCCAGGGATGCTTCTTGCAGGCACTGTTGCTGACTGGAATCGATTTTGTAGGTGTGTTGTTCGAATCCAGTTGTCTTGTCGATTATTGGTTACGCGTGGCCTGCCACTCCGAGGATGGTCTCTGACTGCATTCGTCTGTTGCCAATGTTGCCATAAACACCAAATGGTGTTTCTGTGGACATTAAATTGTGTTGCAACATCACGTTGACTCGATCCTGCTTCAAGCATACCAATGGCTCGCAGACGCTCATTATTGGACAAGCGTGGCATTTCGTAATGTTGAATAATTGTGTAATTTTGTTGTTTTTCTGAGTGATTGTTGTCAGCACCATGCTAAACAATACATATGGAAGCAGCAGTATTGGAAGCCATTCGAGTCCTTGCCGTAAGAGAGGAGAACACCATGGTGGTACATGTTACTCTTCACAGTATGACCCTGGACCGTGATGAAACTTTTCTTTCTTTTTGTGCTAGGCTTCGGGGTCAAGCTGGAGCGAGCAAGTTTGTCATTCCATGCCCAGGCTGTCACAATGAGGTAAACTACACTGAGGCCATATTTGTACGGGATGTGCTTACATGTGGCCTGAATGACCCCAAATACCAGTTAGACCTCCCTGGTGACAAAAACAAGACATGACTCTTTAGCAGGCCTTTTAGTTTGTAGAAGCCAAAGAAGCTGGTAAGCGTTCCACATCACGACTTCTTGACTCTCAAGTTGCTGAAGCAGTCGGCAGCACTTACCAACGCAGCAGGAATGCAGCTCACAGTGAAACTACAAGGTTTGATAAATCTGAAGTATGCCACTACTGTGGCAAGAAGGGGCACGGAGAGTCTGCAGCCCCCAAATCAGAAAAAAAAAAATGCCCAGCCTTGGTCATACTTGCACGCGGTGCAGTCGATCCAATCACTTTGATTCTGTGTGCCGCAGCAGAAAAAATAAAAAATTGGAGAAACCCAGTAAAACACCAGAGGATGGTTAAACCTGGCGCTTCGATGAGATTGTTGCTGATCTACCTAACAATACCAAGTGCGTAGATGATGCACTCCTCAGGGCTGATGGCATTACAGAGTGCTACTTCCAAGCTTGTGCATGGCTTGACATCTGTGGTAGAAACGGCATCACACTGAACCCTGAGAAGTTTGTCTTTGCTCAGGATACGGTTGAATTTGCAGGCTTTGAGATAACACATGACTGTGTTCGGCCCTGTAAAAAGTACCTCCATGCCATCTTACACTTTCCCACACCGAGAAATATTACAGACATGCGGTCATGGTTTGGCCTAATCAACCAGGTATCTTATGCCTTCAGCATGGCAGAAAGGATATGCAACCATACCGTCAGCTATTGAAGCCTGGGACACCTTTTCGATGGGATGACCACTTAGACATGTTGTTTCAGGAATCAAAGGCAGTCATTGTCAGTGAGATTGAGGGTGTATGAATATTTGACAAACACAAGCCGACATGCCTTGCTACTGACTGGTCAAAAGGTGGAATTGGATTTTGGCTATTCCAAAAACATTGCAAATGCCCCAAGACAGCGCCTTTCTGTTGTCAGGATGGTTGGATTCACCCATGCAGCTGAATCCCGCTACGCCCCTGTGGAAGGAGAGGCATCAATGGCAGTTGCTGATGCACTGGACAAAGCCAGGTACTTTGTTCTCGGCTGTAACGATCTCACTGTTGTGGTTGACCATAAACCACTCCTCAAACTGGCAACCAATCCCTCGAAGATATCTCCAATGCACCACTGCGAAGCCTAAAGGAAAAAACATTGCGCTTCAAATTCCAAATGGTTCATGTACCAGGTGCAAAACACCGCGCTGCTGATGCTGTGTCCCACCATCCAACTGGCCACCCTAAGAAAATGGTGTCAATAGATGATGTCGCAGCCATCTGCCATGATGACGACTTGCTTGACCTCCCAACTTTCTCAAATGTCAGTCACATGATCCTAGCCTCAATAAGATGCAGCGAGAAGCCGGATGACAGCATTGAGGACTCAGTTATACACTCAGCCGTGTCGTCGTTCAGCTCCCTCCAGTCCATCACAAGGTTCGAGTAGCAACAAGCAGTGACAGGGATATGGTGAAGCTGGTGGAGATGATTGAATTCCGCCATGAATTACCATCATCACCTTGCGAATACCATCAATCTTGTGAGCATCTTCATACGGTCGATGGGGTTGTCATATACAAGGATCGAATTGTGATTCCCCCATTACTACGACAGGATGTCCTGACTGCACTCCACTCCGCTCACCAAGGCGTGTCATCGATGATGGCAAGAGCTGAAGCATCTGTCTTCTGGCCTGGAATCACTCCAGCTATCACAGCCCTCAGAAACGATTGCAATCACCGCAACCGTATGGCCCCCTCCCAACCTTGTGGCCCACCCACGCCACCTGTCTACCCAGTCTACCCATTTCAACCTGTGCGTGCTGACTTTTTCCATTACAAAGGGATCAACTACTTAGTGGTTGTTGACAGATACTCCAACTGGCCTATAGTTGAAAGAACCTCCAGTGGTGCACCTGGCCTGATTGATTATCTATGCCGAACATTTGTCACCTTTGGCATCCCAGATGAGCTATCCTCTGATGGTGGCCCTGAATTCACAGCCTCAGCTACCAGAGAGTTCATTCAAACATGGGGTGTGCATCATCGCCTGTCATCTGTTGCCTTCCCACAAAGCAATTGTCGAGCAGAGGCTTGTGTCAAGACTGTCAAAAGATTGATAACAAACAACACTCAACCTAATGGGGAACTTGACACCGAGGCCTTCCAATGTGCAATGCTACAATACAGGAACACTCCAGACAGAGACACCAAGTTATACCCTGCGATGTGCGTCTTCGGTAGACCCATAAAGGACTTTATACCCATAGTATCTGGTCGCTATAAACCACATGACACATGGCACGATACCCTTTCCATGAGAGAGGATGCTTTGAGAAACCGACATATGAGGACGGCTGAACGGCTTACTGAGCACACCAAACAGCTACCACCCCTTGTTGTTGGGAATCTCGTCCGAATCCAGAGCAAACAGGTCCTCACCCACTGAAATGGGACAAAACTGGATGTGTGATCGAAGTTCGCCAATTCGACCAGTATGTTGTGTGGATGGCTCAGGGAGAGTGACTCTACGCAACAGGAAATTCCTCCGCAAATACACTCCTGTATATCCACCAACACCAACAGTCACAGTTGCTGATCATTTGCCAGGCCATATTCATTCAACATCACCAGCTGGTCTCAATGGTACACAATACCGTCCTTTCTTGCAGAAGGCCTCATCCAGGCCCAGCAATGCCAACAGTAATCAGCCTGTTGCCCCCTCGCAGAAGGAATTAAACTTGATGGAACCATCATCCTCAGCTGTGCCAGCAACGACTACTGTGAGTCCCTCAGACCTGTCATCGGAACTACCAACCTTTCAACACCAGACTGTTGCTCCACAACAACACCAAAAACAGGAACACTACCATCCCCATGTCCTGCCCCAGTGGACGTTGAACCCTACTCGGAGAAAGATTGCACCCACAGGCTTAGTGACTATATTCATGCTATTTGGGTGGAAAAAACCCTCAGACATGACATACCTGTCATCCTTCCCTTCCATAGATATGGAGGACTGGAACATTCATAATATGTGACATCAACACACTTGAAGACATTTCAGTTCATTTAAAACTCAGTCAAGACTTGGCTGCATTATTAAGTCCTTGTCAAACCTTTTGCAAGATCTACCATTGACTTGGGTTGGGATAGAGGATTATGTACATTTACATTATACAATCATGTGTTGCATTAAGTTATGTTTCCTGTTCTGTGTTACAGATCTCCATCATTTGTGATGTCGAATAAAGATATCTCAAAACAGTATAACACCTACTCATTAATTTACCACAATCACGAATTGACTAGAACCTTTAACTTTTAATACATCTGATTAAAAACTAGTAACAATATTGTCTTAGAATAACAGTGAAGATAGCTAGATGGAAAACATTATACACATGGTCATGTTCTGAAAAAAACCACTTATTTTAACTGCAAAAAATACTGTAGCAGATATGGTTGTGAGTTTTAAACTTTAAGATTTCTATCAGTCATGATAAATATACTGTTCAACATTTGCTAAGGACTAAAAAAGTCTACTTTAGTCAAAGGTGTGGTCCTCACTCAATGTTGAGTAGTATAATAGGTTTCAACATAACATTTAAACCTAAAATATAATTCCTTTGGTTCAATTGGGTTTCTTGACACAAGACTGATGCATACATTTAAGGTATATGATATGATATCAACCACGAATAACTATATGAATATTCAGACATTGTCCATTTTTCTATCACTCTTTCAAGACGCCCCTTGATCCTCCATGCAACAGGGGCCCTAAAAAGATATCATTTGATAAATTATTATTTGTTCAGTTTTGCTTTTAATTGTACTTGTATCAAAAGGAGGAAATTTCAGGTATTTTTGTTGTTGTTAATGCAGTAAATAATTCCTTTTTATGAATTTGCAGGAAATTTTAATTTTTAATTACATGTACATAAACAATTTTACAGATAGTCAAATTTTCGATCACCCAAGGGCCCCCCATGACACTGAAAGTCTTCAAACATCTTTCGCAAAAATGGATAATTTTGGTTGTCTGACAACATTCTATTGACAAACAGTCATACTATCGATGTATTGTGGCCAACTGTTTAGATTGCTTGTTAACATTTTAACACCTCTGGGTATAAGTCTGCACTATCAACAGTACCTATTTGACACCTATTTATAATCACTTCTAAATGACATTGACCACCATCACACTACAAAAAGACATCGTTTTGAACATTGATTTCTGCAATACACTTGGTCATCAGTCAGCTGTGTAGAAGTCACACAAAGCTGTGTAGAAGTCACGAAAAGGCGGAAATCCTGTGTAAAAAGCAAGTGATGTAAAACATAATAAGAAAGTTAGAATTCATAACTGATCTACATGCACAGCTGAACTACCACCATCATGCTGTGAAGCATGTTCATATCTTTTGGAAGGCTAAGCAACTTTTAACCTTCCTGTTAATGTTAAAGTTGCTCTAAAATCTAAATATATGTGCATGAAATAGAGTCATTTAGGGGACTTGGCTATGGCATTCATAACATACAAACAACAAATCAAAATTTCTTTCTCATTACTTTATTACACAAAATATAATATAAATATCTGACGCAATACTTTATATACTGAACAACAAAAGTTCCTGTGACATCGAATAAGATTTAATGCAAAGTTACGTTTTTTACCAAATCTGAAACAATTTTGGTTTGCAACAGATAAAAGACTCCTGTAAGTGTTCAAATGGTTTAATTTGCCATACTGACTCCAGAAAATAATGATTTCATAAAAAACATGAACATGCCAAAATGTCAATTTACAAATCAATAGCGTGTGTGTCCACCTCTGGTTGCGATGCAAGCAACACATCTTAGTCTCATGGAATGGACCAGGCGTTGCACAAAGTCCTGTGGGATATCTGTCCATATCTGCTGGAGCATATTTCAAAGTTCCTGGAGTGTCTGTGGAACACATGGTTGACGTCGAAGGCGCCGATCCATCTCCTCCCACATGTGCTCGATTGGTGAGAGATCAGGGGAGCGAGCCGGCCAGGGGATGACATTCACGTTGTTTTGTTGAAGAGAATCCTGAACAAGTCGAGCAATATGAGGCCGGGTGTTGTCATTTTGAAAGGTAATGGCTGGGCCATGATGACGCAAAAACGGTAGAACATTGAGATTTCCCTCTACAACTATCAAACGGGTCCTCTGTCCTCTGTCCTGCTGTAATCCCACCCCATACCATAACGCTGCCACCCCCGAACCGCTCTTCTTCCATGAGACAATGATTGACATTCATACTCTTAGATTGGCTACTTCTCACTGTCACATCATAACACTCATACTCTTAGATTGGTTACCTCTCACTGTCACATGACATTCATACTCTTAGACTGGTTACCTCTCACTGTCACATCATAACACTCATACTCTTAGATTGGCTACTTCTCACTGTCACATCATAACACTCATACTCTTAGACTGGTTACCTCTCACTGTCACATGACATTCATGCTCTTAGATTGGCTACTTCTCACTGTCACATCATAACACTCATACTCTTAGATTGGTTACCTCTCACTGTCACATGACATTCATGCTCTTAGATTGGTTACCTCTCACTGTCACATGACACTCATACTCTTAGATTGGCTACTTCTCACTGTCACATCATAACATTCATGCTCTAAGATAGGTTACCTCTCACTGTCACATCATAACACTCATACTCTTAGATTGGTTACCTCTCACTGTCACATGACATTCATGCTCTTAGACTGGTTACTGCTCACTGTCACATCATAACACTCATACTCTTAGATTGGTTACCTCTCACTGTCACATGACATTCATGCTCTTAGATTGGCTACTTCTCACTGTCACATCATAACACTCATACTCTTAGATTGGTTACCTCTCACTGTCACATGACATTCATGCTCTTAGATTGGTTACCTCTCACTGTCACATGACACTCATACTCTTAGATTGGCTACTTCTCACTGTCACATCATAACATTCATGCTCTAAGATAGGTTACCTCTCACTGTCACATCATAACACTCATACTCTTAGATTGGTTACCTCTCACTGTCACATGACATTCATGCTCTTAGACTGGTTACTGCTCACTGTCACATCATAACACTCATACTCTTAGATTGGTTACCTCTCACTGTCACATGACATGCATACTCTTAGACTGGTTACTGCTCACTGTCACATGATATTCATGCTCTTAGTTTGGCTACTTCTCACTGTCACATCATAACATTCATGCTCTTAGATTGGTTACCTTTCACTGTCACATCATGACACTCATACTCTTAGTTTGGCTACTTCTCACTGTCACATCATAACATTCATGCTCTAAGATAGGTTACCTCTCACTGTCACATCATGACACTCATACTCTTAGATTGGCTACTTCTCACTGTCACATCATGACACTCATACTCTTAGATTGGTTACCTCTCACTGTCACATGACATTCATGCTCTTAGATTGGCTACTTCTCACTGTCACATCATAACACTCATACTCTTAGATTGGTTACCTCTCACTGTCACATGACATGCATACTCTAAGATAGGTTACCTCTCACTGTCACATCATAACATTCATGCTCTAAGATACGTTACCTCTCACTGTCACATGACATGCATACTCTAAGATAGGTTACCTTTCACTGTCACATCATAACATTCATGCTCTAAGATAGGTTACCTCTCACTGTCACATCATGACACTCATACTCTTAGATTGGTTACCTCTCACTGTCACATCATAACACTCATACTCTTAGATTGGTTACCTTTCACTGTCACATGACATTCATGCTCTTAGACTGGTTACTGCTCACATCATAACACTCATACTCTTAGATTGGTTACCTTTCACTGTCACATGACATTCATACTCTTAGATTGGCTACTTCTCACTGTCACATCATAACATTCATGCTCTAAGATAGGTTACCTTTCACTGTCACATCATAACATTCATGCTCTAAGATAGGTTACCTCTCACTGTCACATCATAACACTCATACTCTTAGATTGGTTACCTTTCACTGTCACATGACATTCATGCTCTTAGACTGGTTACTGCTCACATCATAACACTCATACTCTTAGATTGGTTACCTTTCACTGTCACATGACATTCATACTCTTAGATTGGCTACTTCTCACTGTCACATCATATTATTCATGCTCTAAGATTGGTTACCTCTCACTGTCACATGATAACACTCATACTCTTAGATTGGTTACTTCTCACTGTCACATGACATTCATGCTCTTAGACTGGTTACTGCTCACTGTCACATCATAACACTCATACTCTTAGATTGGTTACCTCTCACTGTCACATGACATGCATACTCTTAGACTGGTTACTGCTCACTGTCACATGATATTCATACTCTTAGATTGGTTACCTCTCACTGTCACATGACATGCATACTCTTAGACTGGTTACTGCTCACTGTCACATCATAACACTCATACTCTTAGATTGGTTACCTCTCACTGTCACATGACATGCATACTCTTAGACTGGTTACTTCTCACTGTCACATCATAACATTCATGCTCTAAGATAGGTTACTTCTCACTGTCACATCATAACATTCATGCTCTAAGATACGTTACCTCTCACTGTCACATCATGACACTCATACTCTTAGATTGGTTACCTCTCACTGTCACCTCATAACACTCATACTCTTAGATTGGTTACCTTTCACTGTCACATGACATTCATGCTCTTAGACTGGTTACTGCTCACTGTCACATCATAACACTCATACTCTTAGATTGGTTACCTCTCACTGTCAAATCATTACATTCATGCTCTTAGATTGGTTACATCTCACTGTCACTACAATAATGTCTAATATCATCAGGTCTCACCCAATTTGGATGGGATTCAAAATACAATACACATGGAAGTACAGCTGGTGACATGGCATGTTTCAGATAATCCTAGCCATATAGCTAGTCTTATGCAATACATCTTGCTATGACCCGTGAAGATCCGGTGTAGAATTGGTCTTCAGCAACCCATGCTTGCTGTAAAAGGCAACTATGCTTTTCATAAGAGGCGACTAATGTGATCGGGTGGTCAGGGTCACTGACTTGGTTGATGTATGTCATCGTATCCCAATAACGTGGATTGATGCTCATGGTGTCAATCACTGGATTGTCTTGTCCAGACTCGATTAATTACAGACCGCCGTCATATAGTTGGAATATTTCTAAGTGCAAACAAACAAACAAACAAACATCTTGCTATCTTATATGATAACATTTATATGCACAATTTATTAACACATGAGGGGCGGTCAGGTAGCCTAGTGGTTAAAGTGTTTGCTCGTTATGCCAAGGACCCGGGTACAATGTGTGAAGCCCATTTCTGGTGTCCCGCGCCGTGATATTCCTGGAATATTGCTGAAAGTGGCATAAAACCATACACACTCACTATTAACCCATGATGCAGTACAACAATAAAACAAAACGTATCATGTCTCCAGCTTCCTTTATAAGATACTAATTGTTTTTAAATATGACATTGCATAAATAACTAAATTGTGTATATATTAGCTTGGTCTCGTCGCTATATGGCTGAAATAATGCCGATGCGACGTTAAATTTTAACTCACTCACTTATAAGATACTAGTATTCATATGCCTAATGTCCCTAATCTTCAGTCATGGCTATGAGCTGCCAGATAATGTCAAATTGCATGTATATATGAGCAATGAATTAGTCCTACAAGGAAGACACAGTTTTATGGATAAAATTAGTCCTAGGTATCAAATAGTGCAGGGGAATAAAAATTCATAATATGCAGAAATTGACCGTGGGAAGGAAATACAGTCCTCATCCTGGGTTCATTGTTGTACAGGAACCAGTACTCCTGGTATATCGATCTACCAGAACAATTGTTCATAACATATTTACGTTCAGATATACATGTTGGGTTTTCTCAAAGTAGTATTTAATTCAGTACAATATTTGACACTACAGTTCGTTTGACTCCAAATGAGAACGATGAATTACAAAATAACTCGAAATCCAGAAAAGTGTATGAAACATCAATACGGTACTTGACCATGAATACCCTGTACCCAACAAAACCTGAATTTTGTTTATTTTAAGACCCATGACGGATGAAGTTCTTTAAGAAACTATCATGTAATTTTGTATAGAAATGTGTACATGACACGTAGGGGGACGAACCGTGGAAGGAACAGCGCAAGCACGGTCTGCACGTGCTACACAGTGACCGTGTTCATTCAATGACAAGATGCGCTACTCAGCAGATGTTAAACAGTTGATGTTGAATTTGTATGATTTCTTTAGAAGTGAAGCAGAAAGAGCAAAGCCTTTTTATGCAATTAATAAATTCTTGAAACAAGCTTCAAAAAAGCTCTTGGTATGTCCCCTCAGAAACTTAAAAATGTTGTTAGTCCACGAGATACAAATAGTCAGGCCGAGGAGGTAGGGAACATGTCAAAACCACGCAAGGTTGATAAATTAGACAGTTTTCAGAGGGATCAAGTCAGACGTGCAATTGTTAAACTGCACTCAGAAAATAAGTACCTGTCCCTAAGAATTTTGAAGAAACACCTTGAAACTGACCATGATTTACGTGTTACAAAGTACAAACTATGGCAGCTGTTGCATACATTTGGTTACAAATACAACAAGCATGAAATACTCACATCCCCCGCCAATATGACATGTCGGGTGTGTGTAATGCATTAGCTCCTGAGAACTATGTTCACTGGGCCTTTTTGTAAAGAAATATAGTGCGTTTTTCAAGATCTGCTCCGGAAATGAGGACTACCGCCATTTTCAGTCTTAATCAAAGTCGGTGCTATGGAAACTCGAAAAATAACTTTTTTTAAAATCCCAAACTATCAAAAGGCACCAGTTCACCACTAGACCTATCAATGTGCAAAATATGGTGAAGAAAAATGGTACGGTTTTCCAGTTCTGCTCCGGAAACGAGGACTACTGCCATTTTCAGTCTAAATCAAAGTCGTTGCCATGGAAACTCGAAAAATAATTTTTTTACAAATCCCAAACTATCAAAAGGCACCAGTTCACCACTAGACCTTTCTATGTGCCAAGTAGACGTAGAAATATGGTACGGTTTTCACGATCTGCTCCGGAAACGAGGACTACTGCCATTTTCAGTCTTAATCAAAGTTGTTGCCATGGAAACTCGAAAAATAACTTTTTTTAAAATCCCAAACTATCAAAAGGCACCAGTTCACCACTAGATCTATCTATGTGCCAAGTTTGGTGAAGAAATATGGTACGGTTTTCAAGATCTGCTCCGGAAACAAGGACTACTGCCATTTTCAGTCTAAATCAAAGTCGTTGCCATGGAAACTCATAAAATAACTTTTTTTTAAATCCCAAACTATCAAAAGGCACCAGTTCACCACTAGATCTATCTTTGTGCCAAGTTTGGTGAAGAAATATGGTACGGTTTTCAAGATCTGCTCCGGAAACGAGGACTACCGCCATTTTCAGTCTAAATCAAAGCCGGTGCAATGGAAACTCAAAAAATAACTTTTTTAAAAATCCCAAACTATCCAAAGGCACCAGTTCACCACTAGACCTATCTATGTGCCAAGTATGACGAAGAAATATGGTACGGTTTTCAAGATCTGCTCCGGAAACGAGGACTACTGCCATTTTCAGTCTTAATCAAAGTTGTTGCCATGGAAACTCGAAAAATAAAAAACAATTTAAATCCCAAACTATCAAAAGGCACCAGTTCACCACTAGATCTATCTATGTGCCAAGTTTGGTGAAGAAATATGGTACGGTTTTCAAGATCTGCTCCGGAAACGAGGACTACTGCCATTTTCAGTCTAAATCAAAGTCGTTGCCATGGAAACTCATAAAATAATTTTTTTTTAAATCCCAAACTATCAAAAGGCACCAGTTCACCACTAGATCTATCTATGTGCCAAGTTTGGTGAAGAAATATTGTATGGTTTTCAAGATCTGCTCCGGAAACGAAGACTACTGCCATTTTCAGTCTAAATCAAAATCGGTGCCATGGAAACTCCAAAAATAACTTTTTTTTAAATCCCAAACTATCAAAAGGCACCAGTTCACCATTAGATCTATCTATGTGCCAAGTTTGGTGAAGAAAAATGGTACGGTTTTCCAGTTCTGCTCCGGAAACGAGGACTACTGCCATTTTCAGTCTTAATCAAAGTTGTTGCCATGGAAACTCGAAAAATAAAAAACAATTTAAATCCCAAACTATCAAAAGGCACCAGTTCACCATTAGATCTATCTATGTGCCAAGTTTGGTGAAGAAAAATGGTACAGTTTTCCAGTTCTGCTCCGGAAACGAGGACTACTGCCATTTTCAGTCTAAATCAAAGTCGTTGCCATGGAAACTCGAAAAATAATTTTTTTACAAATCCCAAACTATCAAAAGGCACCAGTTCACCACTAGACCTTTCTATGTGCCAAGTAGACGTAGAAATATGGTACGGTTTTCACGATCTGCTCCGGAAACGAGGACTACTGCCATTTTCAGTCTTAATCAAAGTTGTTGCCATGGAAACTCGAAAAATAACTTTTTTTAAAATCCCAAACTATCAAAAGGCACCAGTTTACCACTAGATCTATCTATGTGCCAAGTTTGGTGAAGAAATATGGTACGGTTTTCAAGATCTGCTCCGGAAACAAGGACTACTGCCATTTTCAGTCTAAATCAAAGTCGTTGCCATGGAAACTCATAAAATAACTTTTTTTTAAATCCCAAACTATCAAAAGGCACCAGTTCACCACTAGATCTATCTTTGTGCCAAGTTTGGTGAAGAAATATGGTACGGTTTTCAAGATCTGCTCCGGAAACGAGGACTACCGCCATTTTCAGTCTAAATCAAAGCCGGTGCAATGGAAACTCAAAAAATAACTTTTTTAAAAATCCCAAACTATCAAAAGGCACCAGTTCACCACTAGATCTATCTATGTGCCAAGTTTGGTGAAGAAATATTGTATGGTTTTCAAGATCTGCTCCGGAAACGAAGACTACTGCCATTTTCAGTCTAAATCAAAATCGGTGCCATGGAAACTCCAAAAATAACTTTTTTTTAAATCCCAAACTATCAAAAGGCACCAGTTCACCATTAGATCTATCTATGTGCCAAGTTTGGTGAAGAATTATGGTACGGTTTTCAAGATCTGCTCCGGAAACGATGACTAGAGCCATTTTCAGTCTACATCAAAGTCATGCCATGGAAACTCCAAAAATAACTTTTTTTTAAATCCCAAACTATCAAAAGGCACCAGTTCACCACTAGATCTATCTATGTGCAAAGTTTGGTGAAGAAATATGGTACGGTTTTCAAGATCTGCTACGGAAACGAAATGTGACGGATGGCAGGACGGAAGGACGGCCGGACGGCACCCATTCCTATATCCCCCTTCCACTTCGTGGCGGGGGATAAAAAGATAACTGGAGAAAATAGGGCTGTGTTGTGTGAACGGTCTGACATTGTTCGTTTCCGAAATCACTACCTTCGTACAATCAAGCAGAAATGTGAAGAAGGATATGAGCCCGTCTTCTTAGATGAGACATGGGTAAATGCGTCACACACAGCCAGGAGTCAGTGGGTACCCAGTGGTGACTGTAAGGAGTCTGGTAGAAAGTTACCAATGGGAAAGGGTGAAAGACTCATAGTTCTCCATGCTGGTTCTGCTAGTCAGGGTTTTCTCCCAGACTGTGACCTCATCTTTAGAGCCAAGGCCAAAGACAACAGGGACTACCACACAGAAATGAACGGCAATGTATTTCTGGAGTGGGTGAAAGATAAATAAGTCCCTGCTTTGCCTACCAAGTCTCTCATTGTCATGGACAATGCACCATATCATAGTGTGCAGGATCCAGAAAGCAAGACTCCAACCTCTAATAACCGTAAAGGAGACATGGTTACTTGGCTGCAATGGAGGAACATTACCTTTCCTTCTCGAGCGACGAAACCACAGCTCTATGAAATCATCAAAACTATGAAACCTGACCCCGTGTATAAAGTTGACAGTTACATCAAGGGTCAGGGTCACGCTGTCTTACACTGCCCTCTTATCACTGCGACCTGAATCCAATCGAGTTGGTATGGGGCATCGTCAAGGGTGACGTTGGACGATCGAACACAACGTTCAAATTACGAGACGTTGAACAACTCGTAAAGGAATCCCTTGGTCGGGTAACAGTAGAACATGGAGGCGTTGTGTGGCCACAGTCGTTGACGAGATAGAGCCACGTTATTGGTCACGAGATGGACTACGGCCAGCAACAGTCCAACCTATAATAGTGGCAGTCGGTTCAGTCACCAGCAGTTCCGACGAGGAGATCTATGGCATGAGCGAGTCAGATTGCGACTGAAATTATCATGAGACGGACCCTCTAACGCTCTGTCATTTCCCCTACCACAGAACGTGCAGTGCATGCGTGCTTGCGCTGTGCCTTCCACGGTTTGTCCCCCCTACGTGTCATGTACACATTTTTATACAAAATTACATGATAGTTTCTTAAAGAACTTCATCCGTCATGGGTCTTAAAATAAACAAAATTCAGATTTTGTTGGGTACAGGGTATTCATGGTCAAGTACCGTATTGATGTTTCATACACTTTTCTGGATTTCGAGTTATTTTGTAATTCATCGTTCTCATTTGGAGTCAAACAGACTTTAGCTGCCAACCCATGGCCTTGGTCACACTTTAGTGATCATGCACATCATGTCTATTTTCCTATTAAAAAGAATCAAGCATAGTTACCAGGGGTTTGGATGCTTATTTCAAAAGGGGTGACCTGGACCTTTAATTATCACTAGTCACATGTAAAAACATTTATGTACATTATACTGCCATTTCTTTAGAAATGAAACTGTTTTCAAGTAGTTTTAGGAGTGATTGTCCTTAAAACTGACTTTGACATATAGGCATAACTCTGACACTGTTTGAATTATGCTTGTTTCTCATGAATGGAACCAAATATTCTTGAGGCTTGCGTCTTGACCCTATCTTATCACGTCCAGACCACACCACAGAGATTGTATATAAACTTTCATCACACTAAAACAGATGGGTGATCTCTAACTTTCTGTCAACAAGTACAAGTGCAAATAAAAGTCTTGTTGGAACTCAGGTCTGTTGTGACACTTTTTCTTATACAATGAACTCATCATCACTTATTTCCACCTCTTCATTGGGAATATCATCATTCTTCAACCTGTTAGTAATAGTAGACACTTCTTGCTGCCATGGGCACAGAGAATGCATGTCCCTAATGCATGTATCCCGTTGTGCAATCTGGGCACGGAGGAAATCAATTTCCTTTATCATTTGGTCCATTTTCTGCAAAAGAAGAACATTGCTTGTTACCAATGCAACAACTGAATGAGACTTCTCAGCGTTGTGTCTTGACTTCATACAGACTTAACCCATCTTAGAGTAGGAGGTCTTTGCATGACATGCAAAAGTTGAAGCAGCCCAAGTCCATCTTTTCTTGAATGTCCCAAAACTTTCCCATCAAAAACATATTTCATGATCCATTATAATTTTATTATATCAGGTGACAGCTAAACTCACAATAACCGATGCATGTATAACTACTTTTAAACAGAAAGTCCCATGCCTCTAACGACCCTAATAACAAAATTAAGAGCATGTTCGGTTCTAAAACATCACGTTTAGTTTCAGGTTTTTCGAGTTTGGTCTAACACATATCCAATGAAAAACAATTTGTAACAGTAAGTCTCATGTCTCAAGATACCTTACAAATAAAGTTACTAGCTGGTTATTAATTTTCTATATTATCATTCTTTACTCTGATGTGACACCTGCCTCTGTGAAGATCTGAGGACTCGTCAATTTGAGATCATGTCAAGTAACATTCTAATCTTGTGGAGGCATCTAAATTCTCAGTAAGAGTGAGCGAAGCATTGAGGCATTGAAGATTTCTGGATAGTTTATACATCATATCATTTGGTGAACTCCATGGCATCTCCAACCAAACGGTTGTACCATCAAGAGTATATTTGCGTTAAGATCGAAATTTCCAAATTGAGTTAGTAAAGAAATGAAGCCGATTATCTATAGAAAACTGACATCAGATTGGCTCAAGATACCATGAATCCTTCATTTTTAGATTGGGTGGCCAAATTCGCTCATGATTCACCTGATGTAACTGTGACAGAGTTTTCCTCAGATCTTCATGCAACATGTCACCAGTCAGGTGATGATTTAATTAGACTGGCAATGGCATCACTTCCAGTTTGGGAAAACATAGGCTTAATGCAGTAAAACTTTAAGAAAAGGAAGTCCTAAGCCTCAAGCTACCTTACCAAAAATGTTGCCAGAAAAGGTATTAAGTGACGTGCAGTGTTACAAAAGAAAACCTCCTGTAGCATACTGGAAATATACAATCTGAATTATAGTGTTTGCAAGATGTTTTACAATGTCACTGACCGTAACATTTGATATGACCTTGCCACATGGTAAGAATAGAAGAAAGTGATGATGTATTATTTATGATATAAAAATGTAAGGCATAATCATGAATTATATTCAAATAGTCCATTTCTTTTAAAGAATTCAGTGACCCCATGCATACTAAGCTTTGTCAAATTCCATTCAAAAATACTCAAATAGTTGTACACACAAGTGTTTTTTATACTGTTATATAGCAGTCTAATTTATTGTCAAACAATGTTATAACTGTATTACATTGTTTGATGAGATTCAGAAGAAGCTCATAGCATTATGTTTTCAAAATGGTTAATTGTCAGGAATGTAGTACTATTTAATGTAAGCAGTTGTTGGGAAGTTACAATATTTAGATGCTAGTGTCATCAGGTGTAATCTAGAAATTTCTGGAGATGTCTATAACAGCATTGACTGACAGAGCATTGTGTAGAAAGTTCTGGAAGCTAGTTAGACTATATACGGGGACGAGTGTGTGCCTCTCTCACCTCACCTTTCATCTCACAATTCATCAAGACAAGATTTTGTGTGAAGATCACATTTCACCCTGGATATCCAGCTAAGGCCTATCTTGGAAGCTTAACCAGTGTTACTGCAAGGTGAATATTATTTCTTCTGCTCTTATAATGCCATTGTACTTGTACTGCCAATCTGTTGTTTACTGCCATTGTAATTACTGTGCAGTAATTTGAATTGGATTCACTTGTAAACCTAGTTCATTTTATAATACAGTTGTTAGTTGTATTCCATTTGTTGTTTGTTGGTTTCACACTGAATTTTTTCATGTACAGATTTCTTGGTTAAATTTTTGTTTCAATTTGGAAGTCGGCACGGAACAGAAATTGGGGGCCTCGTCCAGGGGGCAAAATTTAATATATCATAAAATTGTTTGTCATAATGTTTGGATAAACATTTTATTGTCTAAACTGCATCTCCCTCTGTAGGTCTTGGAGAGATATAAGTATGCCCAGACATGACATCCACCAGTTTGATGGTCAAGTACACTTGGAATAATTACTCTTGTTCTCCCATCATCTTTTGTAGTTGAAATCTTGCCCCTATATAGACGCTGTCTTGAATGGGTACTATCTCTGACTTGTTGGTGTGAACCAGAATGCCCAGATACAAGAGTAGTTGTGAGAAGAAGACTAAGTTCTGCTTGGTCTGTGACTGGTCCAGATCGGCCAGTAGCAAGTTGCTGATGTAGCCGTGCTGTCTTACAAGCATTAGATGAGTAAACTCAATAGTTCTTGTGAATCCTCTACCTAGGTGCAGATGACCAGAAGTGACATCAAAGCCGGAAGAGATAGAAACCAGAGTGAGTGAGTGAGTTGGGTTTAACGCCGCTTTTAACATTATTCCAGTTATATCACGGCATGTCAGCTTAATGTGGGAGGAAAGCCCAAAGTGATGCAGGTCTTAGACGTTTACCACTTCGGTGAAACCCACGAGCACGGGTATGGTGCTGACAAACCTAGAAACATAATTGGGGCGAACCGGGATTTGAACCCACAATCATAGGTTTCTGGCACCCAAGGGACGCAACTCTGTACAGCAAATCGCGGCGCCTTAAACGACTGGGCCACCCGTGCCCCTGATAGAAACCAGAAGTGACGTCAGCACCGGAAGTGATGTCAGCATAGGAAATAGCAGTACAACGTCCATCTAATCAGGAAATTATGTCTTTTGGTAGAAATAGACCATAAGAGATGTCATTATCCAATAAAAGGGAAATGACAAACCGGAAGTGACCGGAAATAGTGTCACAAATCCATTTTAACAGGAAATGACGTCATTTGGTAGAAATAGACCAGAAATGGCGTCATTATTACTAACAAGATCAGCAAATATAACCGTAATTCTAGTGAAGTTATCACATATTTGACTGATTCTTGATGCATTCTGATTTTCAAGTCTCAACAGAAATTTCAGAGGAAATTATCACGGGTAAGGATTAGAATCAGTAATCAAATAGTTTCCAGAAGAGGATTACTGTCAATTACACAGGGAGTTACTGGAGGCAGATCCCACCGGGTCCCTCTGATATATTCTGGCAAAGGATGTAGTAGGGGTAGAGGATTTGCAACAATTATCAAACAATAGTTATCATTATTAATAATTCTAAGAATACTACCTCTATTACATCAGAAGTACTCCCACCCACCTCCCGAATTCATCTCCCTCAAGTGGTTAGATGTTGGAAAGAAGTGAGGTTTCCCGCCATTGCACATGTCATAGCTTGGGTTGCTATAGTGCTATTAGGGAACAACTAATTGTGTGTAAATGACAGTAAAGAGGACGTCTGTTGAAAATCTGAAAATCTAGTTAGTGTGACTGAAACCAAATTACAGGATTTATGGCAAAGGATGTAATGGAGGTAGTATTCTTAGAATTATTAACAATGATAACTATTGTTCGATGATTGGGTAGTGGTCAGGGAAAACAGCCATGGAGCAATTGATATGCTTCTGCCCTTTGGCTTCAAATAGGAAATAAGGTAGACAGCTTGGATGAATGGGAACATGAAGATAGGCCTCATGTTAGTCTAGATTTATCATCCAATCTCCCAGTCTGAATGACTCCATTTGGAACTTGGGAGGATGTACTAGATAGTCCTTGTTGAGTACTTTTATGTTGACAATCATGCTCATTTCCAATGTATGGAGAGTAGAAGACCTTAGTGGTGTCAGACTCATTTAATGTGCTGATAGCTTCCTTGGGATCAGAAAGACTTGTCATATAAACAGCCACCTAAGAAGTGGCGAGTCGGGGATACGACAACCATCAGTCTTCTCCGGATTCGTTTCATCAGCCTGACTACAAGAAACGAGGAGCCTATTGCCGAGACAAGTCCGGGGGCAGAGGTGAATGCAGGTTCTGACTTCCTTGCCACCTTTTCGCCATTAGGAGGGCGTCCTCTGCCACACACTGAAAATTGGAAGCAGGTTACGCCCAACCCCTGGGTCCTAGACGTCGTGGCTCATGAATACAAAATGGCATTTCAAGAGGCATCCCATCCTGGCATCTCAGGCAGTCAGCTGCTGATTCGCCTAGTAGGAGTCAAGCTAGTGGCAGCAGATCTGGCCGTCAGCAAAGGTTTTAATTCTCCAGTATTCTTAGTTCCAAAGAAGAATTTGCCGGACATGAGGATGATAATAGACTTAAAGATCCTCAAGAATTCATTCCTGGTACCTCCTCCAAAGTTCCAGATGGAATCCGTACGGAAGTTGCGGTCAACTTTGAGGACAGGATATTGGATCATCAGCCTTGACCTGCAATCAAGGATCGAGTTCCAGGTCTTACCATTGGGAAAATCAATAGCCCCTTGGCTGTTTACCAGGATTACAGTGCAAGTCATCAGGTTTGCCCACCTCCAGATAGTACGAATGCTTGGGTTCCTGGACGATTTCCTGGCAGAAGACCAAAAAGAAGCTCAGTTACAACAGAACATGCTATTTCTGCTTCAGCTTATGACCTACCTAGGCCTCCTAGTTAATCCCTCGAAGTCAGAGACCACTCAGGTTCAAGGCATCATATACATCGGAGTGCGTTTCCAACTCCACAAGGGATATTTATGTCCACCAGAGGATCAATTTGTCAAGACTAATACGATGATTCAATCCCTATCAATTCAACCCAGCAGGTCTCTAAGGTGGTGGATGACTCTTCTAGGCAACCTAAAGTCTCTACAGGATATGACCTTCAGAGAAAGGTTGATGTTATGTCCTCTACAGATATGGATCAACTCACTATGTTCCACACTTTAGGGTTCAAGACTCATTGGTGGACTCACAGAGATTACGTGATGAGCGACATTCTTTTGACTTCTCCTACGCCCGAACACCATCTATTTATAGATTTGTCAGATTTGGGATGGGGAGTCTATATGGACAATCTCATGGCACAAGGATCTTGGAACACGGAGAGAGGATCCTACACATCACCTGCAGGGAAATAAAGGTAATTTATTACGCCATCCTGGCATGGAAGATACATCTCTTCCAATCGTCCATCCTCATAGCAACGGACAACACCATATCAAGGAACAACCAGATACAGTTCTCTGATGATGGAGACTACACGATTGTTTGCCTTGGCAGACTCCATCAGTTGCCGGATGGAAGCGAGACATATTCCCAGAAAGCTGAACATCCTTGCTGACAGCCTTTAACGTCAGGGGAGAATGGTGGCAACCGAATGGACCTAACCAGTGCCGTAGCCAGCCGGGGAGCAGGGAGGGCAGTTGCCCCCTGGACTTTTTTTTATAGAAAACAGTTTTATTTGAATCATGAAAATACAAGTTGGAGAAAAGTGATACTTGTACAAATATTTGAACCCCCTGTCAAAAAAAGTTAACTACGGCCTTGCTTACATCCCAAGATCTTTACTTGGATAACCAAGTTATGGGACACACTGCATCTAGATCTCTTGCACCTGCCAAAACCATCAACTTCCGGTTTATGTGCAGATAGTTCCCTTGACAAGAAGTTTCTACATGACCATGTTTGCTGCAGTTAGCCTGGCCCCTGACAAGATGTTGAATATTGGTCATCTGCAATCAATGTCCATGAGATGAATCAGGTCAACAGGATTTGGAGGAATATAGTTGTGTTGCTAACAGCTCAGAGAGGAATGTCTGGTGTTGTCGCACATGGTGCACAGTTTTATTCATGACATCTGGTAAACCAGTAATCTGTGAGACTTGTGATGGTTAAAGGGGACGTGTGGGATAAGATGGGGCTCTGAAACCTCTTTCAAATCTAGAGGAGCCACCCTTTCTGACAGGCCTGGGCGCATGTCTGTGGAAGGGATCTCTCCTCAGAAGCGAAGACGGCATCTCTCAGTGGGGTAATGCTTCCCAGAAAGAGACATTTATCCTCCTTCATCCCATTCTTGATAGCAGTAGTTCAATGGTAGCCTTTTTAGTTAATGATCTAGTAATTTTCCTAGATGTTTTAGGTTTTGTTTCCCCAGTCTCAGAAAGCTTTTAAAACTCTTCCTTGGATAGATGATTGAGGTGTCATCCAATCATGTATCAGACAAATTCCCCAGCGGTACTTTGGAGGCATATCAGGTATGAAGTCTCAGACATTTGTCATAGACATATTGTTGAGAAAACCGTTATTTGAAGTATACGCTAAAGATTTACTGTAAATGTTGAAAGTCATGTGAGCATGAAAATAATGTGAAACATGCAAGTGTCCAATGCTCACATGACAAGTGTGGTCAGTTTGTTTACACAAGTTGATCAAGCAGTTATGACAACAATCACTAAATGTAAAGAAGGTTAGTTTGTGCTTGGCCACCTTGTCAAAACATGTTACTAAATCATTTGTTGATATGAGAATAATACAACTACCAAATGCAAATAGTTTAAATACATATTTGGATTTTTCTAGCATGTTATATGTTAAGTTCATCCCTTTTCCAACAAGCTGAATCCGCTCTTCAATAGCCAACGAGTTTTACAACTACGGTTTCAAAAAATATCAGGAATACATCAAAGGTAGCTATAGAAAGAATATATGTGACGCCCAGGTTACATCCTTACATGTTGGGTTAGACAAAATGGAATTTACAAAATTCAGATGGTTCATGAGTAAAAATATGAACGTGTGTCAAGTATGTTGCAAGTTTGACTAAGGTCACTCCCAACAGGACTCTAAAATTGCTTAAAGAGGCCAAGTCTGGCGTGCCCCTTACAGGTTATTTCTAATGCTAAACAATTTTCCAATGAAAATCATCATACCCAGTAAGAGATATAAGAAAGAGTAGGTACATGTAAAACTTCAACCAGATACAAACTAATATGTTGTCTTTCAAAGGCACAAATTTCACAATCTCACCAAAATATCAAATCAGAGGCATATTATTTTCTTTGTCAGAACTATCACAATCTAGAATACAAACAACTTAGCATGACATATCATCTAAGATTGGCTAAAAGACAAATTTGAATGAAACTCACAACAGATTTATCGTTGACTTCAGATTTTGAACGTGCAACAGTCAAAATTATTTCCCCTTGAATAATTTCCAGTGTTTTATGGACCAGTTTGGAATCTGCACCGAGAATAAGGCGCCCATTCATCTGAAAAAAAGAAACAATACAGAAGGAAATAGATTACGAACTAGAAGACATGGATGTGTTCAGATGTGCAGTGGCATTTGTTGGCACCATGCTGGCATGCATGCAATAGGGATAATCTGTGTACTTTGGCAGGATATAATTTGCCTTTGAAACAGGGTCATGTGTACCATTTGGCTGGTAGCCAAGTGATAGGACATGTACCACGATCATACCAGGACCAGTGAGGACGGTAACTGCATGGAGCAAAAAATACAACATTAGCTCTTCAGAAGTATTTTTCTGACAAACATTAAAACATGACTATGGAATATTTGCAAAAATAAGATAGAGTGAATAAGAATTACATAACATAGCAGTGGAGCTAAAAGAGGAATTCAATCACTGTTTTTGCAAATTGAGCTGTTGCATTTGGGGCCCCTCCAGTTCTGGAGCAGACTGCAGAAATCTTTGTATGATCCTGTTTTCAGAGTTCATTCAGCAGACTATTCCATACCTGAGAAGTGTCATATGCAAACGACTTTAACCTGAACTTTCATGTCTTAACTTGGGGGATGTCCACCTATACTTTCTGCCTGAGGGAGTTGGCAGCTTGTGTTAAGGTTATTAATTTTTGAATGAAACTTGGAGAAAATATGTTGACAATTTTGAATACACTTCTGCCTAGAAGTTTATTCCCCTTACACACATTGAGAACTCATGTAACTAACATGTGACACGGGTGCTTAATGGGTTGCACATGGGTTGCACATGGGTTGAACACCCATTGAACACGCATGTGCCATGGGACCATGTTCAGTTGAAGTTGACAAATAGATCAAAAGAATAGTGAAATAAAATAAAACAGTGAGATGTGAATCTGGAGTCAATAAGAGGCCACTGACCTGTGTTCACCAGACCATAAGCACAAGTTTGGCCCGTCTTAATTAGTGTTCAGTTGCTGGACGTATACAATGTATGGCCTGACTCGAAACATTCCACAAGGGTCCAGTCTGGCCAATGTGGCTAGCAGACAGTAGTATATAATATACAAGGCTAATCCCAGAAATAACATAAGTCTAAGAAATCAAGCACTTGCTCGCAAAAACTCACTGTTAACCCCAATATCACAAGGCATACTAGATAACTTAAACCTACACAACCTAAACAACTTAAAACAAAACACAAAACCAAACAACATCATCACATCTAAACTTCAAACCCCCAAAATAGACACAACACTCTCCTCCAAATTAAATACTGATCCAAACACCACCAAAACCACAACACTAGGATATTGACATGAAAAATGTCCAAATTGGTGCCACATTTACACAGACAGGTCCTCTGACCCAGGCTCAAAACACACAGGATTCGGCATCCACATTTCCCACCCCTCAAAAGAAACTAAATCCTATAGGCTCCCAAACAACCAATCAATCTTCACAGCCATACTAATAGGGATGGCTACAGCCTTACACAAATTGTTTGATAGGCCTTACACAACCCCCAAATTAAAAAACCAAAAAAAAAAACAACCTCACTTTAAATGACTGGTTAAGCTATTGAAAGCAAAAACACACACACAAAAAAAATCACCCTAAATTAATACATGTACACCAAATACTTAAAAGCTCCAACCAACTCAGAAAACTAGGCAAGCAAATAGAATTCTTATGGATCCCTGCCTACATTGGAGTGTTCGGAAACGATCACGCTGACAAAGCAGCCAATGCAGCCACAAACCTACCAGGAGTAAGCCTTAACTTACCAATGTCCAAAAACAAAATAGAGCATCACTGTGGGGAATTTTTTTCCAAAAGTGGCAAAATAACTACCAAAACTCAAACTGCAAACTGCAACATTTGCTCCAAAAGCCACTCAAAAAGTAAAGAATCATCATAAATCCACACATATTGACAGGGCAATAATCAAACTACAAGCAGGTCACCTAAAACTTTAACTCATATCTACATAAAAACAGACACACAAAACAGGTAAATGCCCACACTGCAGCCCACTAGAAACACCAGAACATGTACTACTACACTGCACACACTACAAACAACACAGAACAACACTCCAAACCAAACTAGACTGCAACACTCAACTAACAGTAGCAACACTTCTAAATCCGCTAAACGATACACAAACCTTCAAAGCATTAGGCATACTCCTTATTAAAACTGAACTACTCGGACGCATATAATCACCTACAAAAATTAAACTACCTCTTATCAAAACTAATAAAACACAAATCCAAAAACCACACATCCACACCCTCCCTTAGATCCCCAAGTTTCCAAATTCCAAACTTCTCAAAATTTAAAATAAGCAACCCTAACGCACCCCCAGGTTGCCTCGCCTTTCGGACACAGCCTCCTTGGCACTAAATGGCCTGGCGGGCCAGTATGCGAAATACGCATGGCGGAAAGCGCACGTTAAATCTCCAGTAGTAAGTAAGTTAGGCTCTAACACCACAACTGTTGGGAGTGATCTCCACATGGATAAACTTCTGTGTCAAAGACGATCCAAATTGGTTAGAATCTATGTTTACCTGTGACAACTTCCAACTGTTGACATTTTAGTGAACTTGACAAGTGATGATGAGTTTTAATATTCATATTATTATAGTTTATCAATTGTAAAAAAATCTTTAATAAAAGTGTCCTACACTTTCGTGAAAACTATATTGTCTGCAAGTTTAAATGTCACGTCACACCAGCATTGTTTCAGTTATACTGCGACAAAATAATTGCCAGCTTGTTGGACTATATGTAACATGGCTGCTTAAATATTTCTTATACAGATGCTTGACTGCCTCAGTAGCTCATGATCAATGAGATTTTTTATTGTGTAAACAAATCAGTCAAGTTTGCAACAATAGATGAATAAGCTGATAAATTTGGGTCGCAGTTACCGATGATCAACTTAATACATAGGGACAGGGAGCCGATATATAACAAAAGTTATGGTCCTGGTGAGACGATTGACAGTTAGAACGCAGGAGTAAATGTCAGTAACTAGCAGGAGTAAATACTTATTTCAACATTCCCCAGTAATATTATCAAATACATCATCACCCATAACCGTCTGAGAGATAGCTCTCAGCTATATATGGTAGGGTCGATCGCTTTTGACATTTTTAAAAATAAACTCACTTTAAGGCACTTGGCAAAGTCAAATTGTAAATTGTAAATAATCAAGCCTGCTGCCATGTAACTTAAATATATTAAATTAAGCATTATACATGTGTTGATAAAGCACACTGATGCAATTAAGCAAATAATTATTTGCTGTTGGCAAGTATCCAGCTTGTATATACTTTTGTAGACATGAACATTCTAATTAATTGTGGATACACTGGGCAACAAAAACTCATGACAGATGAACTGGTGATTTGGTATGCAACAAGAAAGAATCTTATTTCCAGGCCATCCTGATAATCGTTTACTTCAATTAGGTGTATGGTTGGGGGCAAGATCAAAGGCATCGCCCAGCATTTATTAGACAACAGACAGGGTTGTCCGTGTCGCTTTGAACCGGCCACCACCCTACCCTGTCAGCATGAGGTATCTGATTGGTACACAAATAACTGTGTCCAGTCACCACAGGGTTTGGTGCTGAAGACAGGTGGTATGCTTGCAGGAGAACTGGGATCAAGGTTGTCTGCGCCAACGTGGTTGTGGTTGTCAGCATAGTCGAAACTTCTCTAATGTTCTAGTGTCGCTGACAGTCTCCGTGGTCTAGTGGTAGAGCGTCCGTCCAGAGAGCGGAAGGTCCGGGGTTCGATGCCCGGAAGCGTCATGCAAAAGACGATAAAAGATGGTACTTGTTAACCTGTCTGGCGCTCTGCATTAAGAGGAGCTTGGCAATTTAGACTGGTCGGCTTGGAGTTAGTATACTGGATCTGAGTGGCGTATTCATATTAAACTGCGGCATGGTATCTCAGTGGGCTTAGCATTATAAATCGGCAACAGTCTAGACTAGTACAAGCATCCACCCCCCCACCCCACCCCACGCCATCCCATCCACACACCCACACGTTCACGTCACTGTACAATTGCAATAATCTTGGACGCGGCGTTAAACCCAATTTCACCTCACCTCTAGTGCTGCTAGACTGGTGAGGGCACTGTGTAGAACTTTCTAGTAGCTAGTTGGGCTGTATACAAGAGGACAATAGTGTCTTTATGTATATCTCTCACGCATTTCATCACATCAGAACCAGCTTTCATGTGAGGATCGTTCATTATCCCTGATTCCCTGCCTAGCCCATCTTGGAAGCTTGACCACTGTTGCCACTGGGTGATTATTATCACTGACTTTTTTGCTGTAATATTGTATTTGATACTGACCACTGCCATCATATTGCACTACCGCTCTATTGTGTTCTGCCACTCTATTGTGTTCTGCCATTGTAATTGGTGTGCAGTAATTTGTATTGATTTGTAAACTTAGTTAATTTTGTAATACATTTGTTGATTGTATGCCACTTGTCTACAAACAAATCGACAGATTACCTATGGATTCCCTTATATCTCCATTCAGAAAACCTGCGTATTTGATTTAAACATATTTTTATTCAATGAATCTGGATCGGTTAACAAGCCAAGAAGGCATGTTAATACCTCTCCAGTACAAGTTATATTGATGAAGGCATTATATAAAACAATACATGATGATAAACTAAATATGTTAACAAAAGCAAGTGGTCATGGTCAACAGTTTGGTGTAATGAGTAGAAGATTAACATATGCCGGATTTATCGTTCACGTTAGCTTAAAGGGGCACTGATCTAACGCAATTCCCCGGGACTGGTTGTTGCCTTTGTTATTGTTTTTCCCCAGTGAGTACCCGGATGTATAGCAGAAATCTAGACTAGTTGGCGACCTCTGCTGCGCCATTCGTAAGCGCATTAGTCACTTTTATGGGTAGCAATAAGGGCGTATGGTCACATTGATCAACAAAATGAAATACAGTTTTCGAGATAATAAGGTAATGTAGGTATCTTTGTGGGTAGC